ATGAATGAGGTAGTTAGGTGAAAATTCAGTACTTTATCATTTGCTTTCCCTTTGACCCATGTAAACATTGTTTCTGTTTTTTAATATTTAATGCTTTCTTTAGTCATTTTTTCTATGTTTTGTGTAGTCATCGTTAATGTTTTTATTTTGATTGTTTACTTTCTGTTTGGATTGCATATGGATTTCCACATATGAAGCTCAGATTAGGTAGATCTGCTGAAACAGTAACTGGAGTGATAATCTCCCAGAGGGGAGAGCAGGGGAGGATGTGGGGGAAATGGGGAGCTAATGACAGCATGTGGAAGAAGAAAATGTTCTAAAAATGGAATGTGGTGATGATTGCACAAATAATCTTACTACAATTGGATGATTAAATTGCATGACATGTGAAGTATGTCCCAATGAAAGCATAATAATTAAAGGATTGGAAAAATTTAAGAAAAAAAACCCTTGTCAGAAAGTTCTCTTCTCTATTCCCACATCTAGTTTGTGTGTGTGTGTGTGTGTGTGTGTGTGTGTGTGTGTTTTGAAGTCCAACATATTGTCAGGGATGCTAATTCTTCACCCAGGTATTTACAAATAATAGTGCCCAAATTTCAATTTATTCTTTTTCTCTATAAAAGGATATTAATCAGCATTTTGTCAGGCATTAAAGCATGGAGGAGAGCTTGTTTTTTAAAGTCACCAACACCTGAGCTCAAATTAAAATTGGCTTAGCTGAATTTCTCAGTCACTATCAACATCTGTATCCTCATCTATCAAATTGAACTAATTTTTGTCTCATAGTTTGCTTTGTCAAGTAAATGAGCTTGCACACATAAATCCATAAATGCAAGTTTATTTGTTTTCCTCTCATTTTGGTACCCTGTATTTTTATTCACCAAGACCTACACAAACCGACACTTCTGTAAGCCCCGTTTTACTGAAAAAGGAATTCCTGGAAGCTCTGAAGAGTTTATCTCTTTGAACTGTTTATGATACATTTTGGACATGATAAAGCAGCAAACAGCTTTTGAAATATGTATGTGCTCCACAGCCTGCATTGCCACTGTTTGTGTGCTCTCTTTATCGCTCTGCGAGCCAAGGAGACCAGCCAAGGGAGCGCCAGGAGCACAGACAGGATGTCAGGACAGAGGCCGCTTGTCTCAGCGTGCCCTGTGCCCATGGCCTGGAAGGCCAGTGGGGGCAACGCTCCCTGTTGCACAGTGATACCTTGACTAGCGAATCTGATGGGAACAAAGTGCCCTTATAAGCAGTTCAGCTGTGTAAATTTATATTTTAAAACTGCATGAATCAAATGCAATCATACTGGCTTGTGTCATATATCTCAGCAGTAATATTCTAGGATGCTGCACTTGTGCACAGAGCAAAAAAACCTCCTTCCATGGTACATGCCTATAAATACGAAGATAAATAGGTGGATTACAGGCAAAATTGTGAAACTTTTCAAATGAACTCTTGTGTGCCCTCTCAGAACTGCCAACATTGCTCTCTCCCTCCGTCACAGAATGCAAGGATCTAGGTTATTGCTCGGGGAGTCTTTCCAATTTCAACAATATTCCCTCTTACAGCACAAGTTGAAGTGATTCACGCTAAACTGACTTACATTTAATATGATCTTTTATTGACATTCCTTAGTAATGTCCTACTCCTAGTTTTATGAAAATACCATTTAAAGTTTTTCTGATTCAGTTGGCTTCAAATGGGGCTCACAGGTTGGTATTTTAATATATGTTCAGGATTTTGAACCACCAGTTGGTGTAACATTGAATTTTCATGTTACGGTCTCCTTTTTTATTGTGTCCTGGTTACTCATGTAGGATCTGGAGAATCACCAGGAGTCATTCTTTAAAATTCAGGTTCCTGCATCCTCACTGGAAAAGTATAGAACCTGAAGTCATGTGGTGTGTATGAGTGCGTGTGTCTTTTATTATGAGTGCACATTTTAAAGCATAAGAGAACCCCTGTGAAATAATGCAAAGATGAACAAGCCAAAACTAAACTAAAACATCAATAACAAATTAAAACCTAGAAAAATATCAGTTGAAAACATAACAGAAAATAATAAAAACTACAACAAATTTAAAATGGATTGAAAGGGATAATAAACAATAAGGTACCACAGTTTAACTTAATTACATCTGCATTAGTCCACGTTCCAATGCGCTCTATCTGATGGCCAAGCTACTCAGATCCCTAGTCAATGGCCAGAGAGGATTCACAGGAGGCTTAATCGAAGGAGGAGCCTGCAAATGGATTTTTTTTAAACCCAGGATTTATGGTAATTTTACTTTTTATTTATTTCTTTTTCTCAACAGGTGTATTAGAATGTAATTCACATATCATACTCAATAGTTCAATCATAATATGAAGAGTTGTACAGTCATCCCCACACTCAAATATACAACATTCTCTTCTTTCTTATATTCATTGTTTTTGACTTTTCTTTTTTTTTTTTTATTATTTTTTTTTTAATGTTTTTTTTTGTTTGTTTGTTTTTGACTTTTCAATTCCCTTCAAACTACCCTGCCATTCCCCAAGAAACCATTAATCCAGTTACTATCTCTATAGATTGACCTATCCTGGATTTCATATACACAAAACAAAAGAAAAAAAACTAATACGAATAAAGTGAAACAGAGTAACACCTGAATTAAAGGAAAACAGAAAACATTAACAAGTAGAACATATTTAAAATGCGTCAAAAGAGATGTTAAAATGATAAGGTGCTAAAATTTAACCTACTTGTCTCTGCAGGAGCCCACTTTCCAATACCCTCTGCATGACAACAAGGCTGTTCACATCTCTGGTCGATGATAAGGGGAATGGGGCTTCATCCACGTACATTTCAATTTAACTTTTTCCCCCCTCCAAACTGAAACACCTTCAAAATGTGTCAATAGGACAATCAAATAACATTTTATATTTTAACCTAACTACATCTAGCTTAGTCTACATAAGGTTATTCACATCCCCGTTCTATGGTCAGAGGGAATTTTCTGGAGGCTTAATCCATATGTGGACCCTGCTAATGGATTTGGGGCTTCCACTATCATCTATAGCCTTTTGGAAAACAAGGGCTCACAATTTAAGCTCTGATCCCATTCCCTCCTTCATACTTGGATTTTATTTTCTACAATCCTCAATCACACTGGCTATTGTGCTTCTTCCATGTGGACTACATTGACACCCCACTTAGCTGGTTGCTTGTCTGAAGACAAGCCTTTAAGACCCCAGATGTCATTCTTTCTGATAGGCGTCGTCATATAGTTTTTTCACCACGCTTTGCAATAGCACCCATATTTTCAGTGATCTCTTCATGTGGCCAATCATCAAGCAAGTATTTTGGACTTTTACTGTCATTCATAGCTTTCTGCAAACTGCGTGCCTAGATTTTAAACTCAAATACCATGTTCCCCTCTTGGTTTTACCATTTACATTCCTTGGACCATATAAACTAATGTGTGTCTTCTGTGGACTTAACCCTGACCTTACTTAAATGGCTCTTGTTTTTTTGAGCAGGGACCCATCTGATTCCTTCATCATAATTTGCTATAGCACTTCAGTGATCACTTCATGACAGCAGATATTGAGTATGACCATGTCATAAGAACTAATTGTTCTTTAATTAGGCCTATGATTAAGTATGATCTCAAAATCCATTCACGTACCGATGATTTATATATGCCCCTAGACTACTTTAGAGCCATCCTTATCCTTTTATTGGGAAACATTACAAGCCATCCCCACGGGACATATGGTAATTCTATTGGTAGTATCATCAATATTTCCAATTTTAAGAGTTTCACACACTGTTGAGAAAAGGAAAGTATACATGTATAGGACACGTTTTTTGGACCAAAATTACGTGGATTGTTAGCTTGTACAGATAAAATTCTCAAGTAATTGGGCATTATTCATGCAAACAATGAGCATTTGAGATTAGGCAAACTTTCGATCACACTCATTCACAAAGATTTTTGAAGTCTCCCTAAATTCCAACATCTAATAATAAACTGATATTCATATTTTAATGCCACCTTAACAGATACTGTATTTCAAAATGAGAATAATTATATGCAGAAGTACATATGTAAGCCAGTTATATTAGTATTTCTCAAATAAATTTTGGAAATTCTGTTAAAATGTTTTTCTGAATCTATGTATTGGATTTCTGCATAAATTAATTCTTTGTAGTATAACCTGGAACCGAGCTACCTTGTGATAAACCATACCTGATAGACGAAGACTTACCATAAAAAGCAAATAGATGATGAAAATCGAAAATATATGCTAGTCTCTAGGGAATTTAATTAAATATCTCTAAAAATTTAATTTTTTTATGGGCAGCAGAGGGGTGGGTGAAGGGAGACGCCAGGCAGTGTAAGATAATAT